ATTAATGTTATTTTTATAATGAGTAATGATTATTAATGCAAAAATATAATATTTAATTTTGCAAAACTTTTTATTTGAAGCTTTTGAAGTTGTTATCTTAATTCTATATGAATTACGTAAATATAAAATTACAATTCATTAAATATAAAATTACGTAAAATACATATATCAGATGAGGTGCTAGAAACTTTTAGTGCAACGGGTTTTAAAACTTTAAAAATTTTAAGTTTAATTATTAAAAATTTAATTAAAGAATTTTAAGTTTAACAAAATGAAAAAAGGTTTCACAACATAAGAGTTTAACTCTAGAAGTAAATCTGTCTGATACAGATTAATATCGCGGTATTTTAACCCGTATAACTGAAAGCGTAAATAATTTTGTGTTATCATTTACATAGCTTTTCGTAACGAAATATTTAAGTATGGTAACTAGATAATAAATGAAAAATATATCTTTATTAGAATCAATTTTTACAAGCATAAAAATTATGTAATTTGAGAAAAAAGAAAAACGGTTGATTAAAAAAGTTTTAAAACTAGGGATAAAATAAATCAACTACTCTATTCTATAAAATAATAATGTAAAAATTGTAGGTTTTTAATTTAGGACATAAACCCCTTTACTACTCTCTTATTATCTTACGCATAAGAGATCGATTTTCAAGAAGCAACAGTGGGGTTTTAATAGCAGACTACTCTTATGTTCCCAAACTTAAAAATAACTTACTAAATTACGTGATTTTACATCCCAAAGTCAGAAGAATTCTCTATCACTTTTTTTAAAATAACACTTGTAATTTATATAGTGGCTTACTGATAGAATGTTATCGCCTGAAGCAAATTACAAAATTCTTCCCACTAATCCGGCTAACATAATTTATAAAATTTGAATGCTCTGAACTCTTAATTTTTTCTGAGACTAGTGTCTCAATCTTCCCATATTCACTAAGATCTGAATTTATCTTAATAAATCAGTTCTGAAGTCCTCTTGCCATTTGTGCATTTTATTTCGTCTAGAAAGCACACTCAAAGCATTTCCATAATTACTTATTTCGGATTATTTACAATAAAATAATATCTTGCATTTGAATACTGTAGACCGTATTCGAGTATTCTTCTGTTTCGAAATATTTACAATAATATTTCTTTTCTAAAATCGAATCGAATATCTCCAAGCGTTAGCTTAATAATGCTTCAATATAGAGAGGTATAAAACCGGTCTATAAATACTTTAGAGCTAAACGCATTTATGGAAAGGGATAAAATTGAAGAGTATGAATTATTCAAAAGCAAAGAGACAATTGTGTCTATAACATTCCAAGGTAATTTTTTACCGTTAGATATGTAGACACATGTATTTTGTTTTACCGTATATACTTTTCTTTATTCGTAATAAAAGACTTTTCTTACATATGTAGTTCCATTTTTCCATGGTTTCTTTCAATAGGATTTATTATTACATACTATATCAAATATCGCAAAATTTATTAATATAATTAGGTGTACAATTATTTTAAGAAAAAGAAATTTGTAATTTGATTTCCCATGTTTCAGCTTTGCACCTAAATGTTGAAATAAAGTAGTATATTTGCAATGTGCAGCATGTAAACGAACAGTTGAAACTAATTTGTAACAGCAAAAATTAGTACATATGATACGTAAACTTTAGAAAACCTAAAATAATTAAGGGTTCGTTGCAACATTTCCTATTCATAATTATTATCGAGCGTGGGTTGGCAACTATTATATAGCTGATAATCGATCAGCTAAAGTTCGTACTTGTAGATTTATAATGCCTAGGTTAACCACACTTTTATTTTAATTCTTTTCATCGCATACACAAAAACAACTCCTCGCAGGTTTTAATAAGATTTATTTTCCGCATTTTATATTAAGAATGATTTTATCAGCATAGAGATTGAATAAAATATGCGAAAATGTGTGTGAAAATGTTTCGAAATGCAGTTTTCTGCCCTGTCATTCATTTGAAATATAAAAGGAGCAATATTTCTCAAATGAAACTTAATGAATGTTAGACATTCTTTCCTGGATAATTAGAAGGCTACATGATGTTGCTATCATTAACTGTTTAATCACTTTTGGCAAGTACGCTAGGGCTACCTGCATAAAAAAGGCAAGTCTTCGCACAGGACTTTTTGACTCTTTAAAATATGCTAACTCGTATACCCGTTACACATGGGAAGATCTTTGAAAACTCATGCAAACAGTCTACGCAGAGGATCGTACACAGTTCGAACTATCATTATTTAGTGGTCCTTAAGCACCAGACTTTGTACAATCATATTTATCATTTTTGTTTTCAAGCCCTTATATGGATAGTTATTATGGTGAATATTTCTTATTTCATCTGACAATGATAGTTCAAGAGGTACTTATATTTGTGATACGTTTGTGTATATCGATAAGTAGTATGAATCCATTAGTCAATGATGAACCGTGCAAGCTCAATAATTATTTGTTCAAACTTAAAAACGAGACAGAAAATAAAATAAATCATAATGCGCGCTCTATGTTCTGCGCCTAGCACTTTTATACTTTAGATTCATTAAAATGATTTCATATACAAATGTGCATAAAAATGTTCATTGCCAGATACTGAAGCTTCGATTAAGATTTAATGATAGTATTGGATCGGTATTCGGTTTACGTAGTGAGTCCCGGGCTAATAACCGGGATATTAGATTTAAGTAAAGAGTCCCGGATCCTTGTATAAATCAAGATTCTGCTGATGCTGCATCGAAAACTAAATTTATTTTAAAGTAGAATATTTATGAAACTGAAATATTTCAGACTGACGGTAATTTATTTTCTGTAGAAAATCACAGTACAATATCGTCCACCTTCCGTATTTCTTACAATTACTTACAATACTTAAGAGGCAAATAACTTAATTAAAAATATTAGTTTGATCTCACTGAAAGTATCTTGCAAAATGCACGAACTATAATTTCATCAACGAATAAAATCTATCATTACAGGAAACACAAATACACACACACAAAAAAAAAAAAAAAAAAAAAAAAAAAAAAAAAAAAAAAAAAAAAATCCCCACAGTTGTTTACTTACAGGCGCTTCACTATCCACAAATATAAATTTTCATACGTTAAAAACATCTATGAAAATAATTAAATTAGATTGCAAGCAACTTATTAAAAAATCGTAGTTATCTTAGTGTACTCCCATTTACGCATTACTGTTACCAACGTATATACTTCATATATGATATTTAAGGTTTTAAATACGGCTCATAGTAATCTCATAACAATTTTAGATTCTCACAATTCTCTAAAAGTTTAATTTCAGCATGCTGAGAAATATAAAACTTTGGAACTAACTTACCGCACAAATTAATTTAGCAGCATTTACATTTGATTACACACATTGTCTTCAAGGCATTAACAATATTCAACGTTCAAGGCAAGATCAACCGTTAGCAGTTTGTAAATTAGACTCTTATAATTGGTCTACAGAAGTTTGATTGCTACAATTGAGTGTGTTCTGAAGATGATGCTTGCAGTACCTATAACTTTGAAACACTGACAAGCTACCCACTCTAGATGACAAAACTTTTGAGAAATGTACATTTCTAACATTTTTCACGTCTTTTCTTGGAATTCTTGAAACAAAATTAAACACGAAATATTATTGGCTACATATGATAAGTGTTTTTGAGTACCTATTTTCAAAAAAAAAAAAAAAAAAAAAAAAAAAATATAGTTAACGTTGACTCTTTAATGCAAATTTATGTATAAGATATCAATACCCGTCAATGATCTCTCATAGGCCTAATAATCACTCTCCTCGTAATTGGATAAATTTCATTAAGGATGGGTAAATATAATATGCATAAAGTGTATTAACTTTCTAAACAGCGCTATTTTGCCTTCGTTTTGAACTTTTATGCTTATGAATTGCATAGTACTTTAGGCAATTAATCAATCAGTAAATAAAAAATGTACGTGATTAAAAGAAAAGTGAGATTGAGATGTGCTTCACGACCAAGTTTGTCATAAACATGCCCTGGTTTATTTCTTCACTTGCACACACACCCCCCCAAAAAAAGGGGGGAAGGAAAGAAAGAATATATTAGGTGAACAATCACTAGAGCTCAAATGAAGAGCAGTGATAAAGTAACCTGTATAATTTAACTATTACATACGTTTAATAAGATAATTCATTCACAAAAGAAAGCAGTACTTATTCAAACTTTGGCACATGCTGGTATCAGCTAAAAGTATTTTCCGAAGAATGAAATGTAGAAGCACAGTGAATACAAAAATAAGTAACATCTTTTCCCCCGCTGAAGGTTATTATTGTTATTTTAGCAACTACTATTATTTTAGTGTCGATCAAAAGCATTAATTTTAATGAATACAATAGTAAGACATTTTTTGTCTGTAAGCAAAGTAAATATTATTACATTTAGAAACTGTTATTGTTATTTTAGTATTGATCAAAATATTAATATTAACGCATACAAAAATCGGAAATCAGATTCCTGTTGCAGAGGATAATTATTAATATTTTTTAATTATTATTGTCAATATTTTAGTAAATTATTTTACAGCAATATTTCTGTTATACCTTATTATTTCCGCAGATTATTTAATTTCAGCAAATGCAGCGCAGTTACAAATCAACATCTCCTCCCGATATTTATGAGCGTAATGACTCTAGTAAAATAAATATTTATATATATGACTCAGCTTTGACTAAATGACTTTACATATTCATAGCCCTAATTCAGCGATATCTTTGAATAAATTGCTTTAACAAAAGAAAAATTAATTTAAGATAAATAAAAAATGCTTTAACATTTATTCTTAAAATTCGAAGAGATAAAAATTTAACATCAAAATCCACTTAAAAAAAAAAGGAAAAATATTTCTATATTTATAACTGAGAAAAATTCAACATCTGCCTAAAATCAAACATGGATAAAGAAATGAGAGAGAGAAATAATAAATGTTTCTCATTACTTGATGTTTCTCCATAATTCCTCAATACACTGGATGTTGTTTTCAGAACTAACTGTTTTGACCACGTCTTTTGACGGTTTAATGCCGAACCAGACACTCAATTAGCAGCACTGCAACAGAGAATTCTTCGTTCTTCATATTTCACTGGACTTCATTGGTTGGAAATCGCTGTTTGGGAGACGTGCGGGTGATGAAAGAGTTTCAAGTGCCCCTTGCGTAATTCGATTCTGCTTGGTTTCGTAGACGAAGAGTTGTAGCTAATGAGTAAGTGCAGATACGCCCTCAGAAAATATCGTATTCTAGCGCTCGCGAATAGACGAATGCAGAAAACGCCACTTGCTTACAGCTGAGATGAGGAGATACAAATAAGGAAGTCTAGCTACGCTTCGGTTTCACTCAAATTTTTTCTTTATGCTATTCTTTTCTTGAGCTTTTCTGTTTTTGTTTATGTCTTTATTTGTTTCACATGTTTTCGTTTTTAGTATAGTATCTGACATATATCCTGAGAAATCGCCATAAATTCAAACATCTGAGTTCGCATTTTCCATCAAACAAATAAAGAGAACAAGTTCGAAAAGTTTGCAGGAAAACATCTGTATGCGATATCATATTTCATGAATTTTTCTACTTCCGGACAACATAAAGAGGGCGTTGTAGAGATAGAAGATAAAAATAGTCTTGTTTATGTTCGGAGTCCTATATTTTTTATTTTATATATATATATATATATATTCATTTTGAGAAATTACGTTATTCACACACATTGAAGCATTGAGTTAAAATACAAATATTTGATTTCTTTTAATGACAGAGAACAGAGGTGTGCCTAAGTACGTTTTCACCTGAGGCAAGAGGACAAACGCACGCTCCTATACACAACGCACATTAATTATATTTGTACGTTTTTGTAATCAAAAATTTATTTCTTTTAAATCCTAATACCATAATTCTTACAATAATTCTTATTCTCTCTTGTTCTTATACTGTTATTTTTATTCTTATACTATTATAATTTTCACACGGTTTATAAAAAAACATTAAAAAGTATTTTCGATACTTCAGTAAAATAACTGATCGTGAAAGTGCGCAATTAATATAGAAATGTACTTCACTAACTTTCAATCATAATATTTTATAAGTTAAATTTACTTATTCCTATGTTGCAAAATTGTAAGTTTTCAAAATTTATTTCATTATTTAATTCATATTTTACAGAGTGTATACTCATGTTTGAAAATTTGTCCTGAACAAGTGAAACTTTTATATAATTTTCTTTTATATTTAAATTTGAAAACCTTCTTTCACCAATAGTATAAACATTGCAAACAATTTAAAACAACTTATAATTTCAGATACGGTTGAAATAAATTGTCCGTTTTAAGATTTTAATCGTTTTAAGTTACTTAAAATCGTTAAAGCCATACTACCCATTTTCGGCGCCATATTGGTGTATTTGGGCTTACTTATTTCCTCATGACTTTAACTCGATGTTAAACAAAACAGAACGATCAAGAACAGCTTATAGAATATTCTCCTATTTCAAGAAAAAATATTATTGGAGGAGAACAGGGCTTTTTTTCTTTTCTTTTTTTCGTATGAGTTAATTTCCTCAGTTTTACTGCATTCATCGATTTTAACACAAGGGACGGGTAACAAGGTATTGGCACATACCACTGTTATGTAAATATTTCAGTCAAACATCGTGTTGTGATTTATTTGAGTTCGTTATACTCAATACTCTGGTTCGTTATACTCAATACCTTTTCCCATGGCCTATAGAGACCACTTTTTTTTATGCATTGGAGACATATTAGAACATAGTCAATTATTCTGCCAAGAAGGAACAGAAAAGCAAATCGACAGAGTCCGCCCCTTTCTACTGCACACAGAGTAATAAGTTTTAGGATAGTGGACTAAAGTTCCCAGTCTCCCATTTGAGGATTAAAATTTCTTGGTCTTTATTTTTAGAACTGAACGAGTGAAACATATCTTTCCCAACACCTAGGAAAATATTAACCCCTGATACCATAAAAAAATAAATCGTACGCAGTAAACAAAGGAATGCATGATTCGGCAAACCATGTTTTTGTTCGGATATCTTTTTCTTCCCTGCATGATCAGAAATTCGTCAAAACAAGCAAACAAAACAAAACAAAAAGAAACGAAAAATCTGAAAAGGTTAAAATTTTGGCATCGCCAGAAAGAGTCTTCTCTTTTAAAAGCTTTATATGCTTTCACCTCATTGGGGTGATGACGATACGCTGCACTGTTGGGTGCGACTCCATGTGGTAACTCAAGTTGGTTGCGTTTGTTAAGGTTGCATATTACTTATTGCATACAGAAGTAAAAAACCCTTAATATAAATCTATGATAAGAGCTATTAACAATACATATCAAGATTGAAGGAATAGAAACAATTATTGCATGTTATTGGCTTCATTACGTGAGGATCTTGTTACCGAGTCCGAGTCGAGAGTTTAGGAATATTCTGAGTTCTTGCCTTGTCTAAAACAGTTTGCAGTCTGAATCAGTCACGCCCTCTTAATTTTTCGGTTGTATTTTACGTCATATGATTCATTGTCGTTGGAACGATATTAGAAGGGAGCAACAGGATTATTGGTCGGTAAGTCTCCCTGAAATCGAGAGGCTTTGGAGGCAGACATAGTGCAGATCGCTAAAATCCTGGTGGCACTGACTGCGAAGTTATGATTCTTGTAATATCAAGTGGAGCCGTAACAGAACGAATTGGTAGTTCTGTAATGTTGAGCCTGTCATCTCATACTTTGTAACAGCTCGAACACTGCAACTTGTGAAAGACCACACATATAAATTTTTTACCTTTGTGTGGGGCGCTGCATCGCAGTTGATAAATCTGTTTTTGTACTCACCTTTGTTAACTGTTCTTTCTTTTATTATCCTATTCTTCCATTATAATGCAAAATAAAATGTTCATTGTTTTCTTCAAGAGCTATGAAACTTCCGATCACGTAATATTCTGAAAAGCACTTTAAATTAACTCTAACATCCCTGACGAATGATTCGAAGCGTCGGTTTTCCTCTGAGGTAACCGAAGTCGTAGCATCTGTTTATTAGAAAGTCATATGGGCATCAAAAGTGATTAGGCGAAAACGCTATGTTCCAGACTAATAGCTCTTTTGGGTTAGAAAGCGTTAAGTGGTATGACTATAAAAGACAAGTCCTTTTTTAGTATCCAGAATTATTACAAATGCGTAGTTTTAAGAACTATATATTTCTGACGAAATGCCTGGAGTATTTATATCATTGGGATAGTTAAGCTCCTTCTTAACCGAAACCTAAGGGAATTAATTTGTCATTTTTAAATCTTGAGATTTGGAAGTGCATAAAGAAATTATTTGAATGCAGAAACTTTTCGTAATACAGTTCATAAAGAAAATTATTATAGAATGAAATTCATAAACGTTAGAAATCGAAAAATTGAATCAGAACAATTAAAAGACACTACGTAAATGCATGGCCGGTCTTAATAAATAAATAAATAAGTAAGTTTTTGTACGCATTAAATTGTAAACTCGTTTGTATAACAAAATAAAAAGAAAATAAATCCTTCCCTGATTTATAAAATTTCGTTCCCCTCATTGCATCAAACCTTAAGGACTGCATATAGATTTACCGTACCACCAAACTTCTAGTTGGAACTTTTTCTCTTGAGCACACTGCAATCCAGCTATGCAAATTACTTCCTTCGAGACGTATTATAAATCATCTTATTTAATTAAATCAAAAGTTTCCGTTTTTAGCCTGTTTATTTTAATAGAAACTGCAGTTTTTCTGCTTAAGTTTGCAATAGTATTCTATTTCTATAATTCATTTATTTCAAAACTCTTAATTTTTTAAAACTTACACTGTGTAGTTTTCCAAAGACTCTGAATATCGTACAGGGCGCACCTTTGTTGAATCTAAAAGCTTAGATGTACAGCCTAACAACAAAAGGCAGAAAGAGAAGCGAGTTGATGTTTCGCCGCGGAAAGAACGAACATGGTATTTTGAAGGGCTCTCGAAAACGAAAATATCAGATTGAGATGCATTGAGAAGGCCTGTCGTATATTTTCAGGCAGGCAATGTCAGCATTGTAAAATACTTTTCCTTATGTATAAATGAATGCCTGTAAATAAAATTTAAATGCTTTATTGTTGAGAGGATATGAATCAAGAACCACACACACACGCCATGATATTCAGATCTAGTGAGGGCATTACTAGTTAGAGAAGCAGGAAGGGAATGTTGATAAGAAAGTTGTTAATAACAAACGTATGGAAAATTTGGTTGCCTAAACCCTTTTGAAACAAATATTTAGAAATTTAGTTTATTATATCAATATTACAGTCATGAATCTTTACAAGACTCGTAGAACATCATGTTCCGTCAATCTTTCACATATGTTTGTCCAGATTTTCTAGAGATTAAGTCTTATTTTTGTATAGGTAAGTTAAAAAATCTCAATCTAATATTCTAAAATCATGACCACAAACTTCCAATAACACATCCAAACTTCCAATAACATTTAGTGCTTCCAAGTAGCATAGTCTTTCAACAGATACTACTGTGCAATACTATAGCAGGAATTTGCGCACATTTTGTCAAGTCCATTAACATAAATGCTTTGAAAACCCTTCAATTGCTACTATTTTCTTTACTCAGAGCGTGATAAGTTTTAATAAATAATTTAATATATTACAGGTGCAATAAATATCTAAAAATATTTCCGCATTTTCAGTCAGTCCGCATTTTCAGCCTAGAGATGACATTCAGAGGACATCTAATTTATCTCTGTTGCAAGAGTGGAGATATGCTAAAAAAGCAAAAACCTTCAACTTGCATTTCTACCTTTTCCTCCAATCTCTTAGCTTCTTCAAGTCAGCTGACCAGTACTCCCCTCCTTTAACGGCTCCACCTCCTCAGCAACTTAGCATGTCAACTATGGAAAGCTCATTCGAAATGACTCGGGAATCTCTGGTACTTCCGGGCGATCAATTAATCTGCTGAAATTACTGTGAACAATATGCAACGCACAACTAGTACTCTGTCCATATCAACACAGGATAGGGCTTCGCCTTTGTAATACCTGCTTTCGTCACCTGACCGAAAAAAAAACCTTATAAAGGAGGCGGAGGCCAAAGATGGTTGGAAAACTATGATGTAGCTCGAACTATATGGTTGGCAGGCCGCGAACATAAAGCGGCTCCCGAAGCAATCTTATGCAGCTCACGAATACATTTCAGTTACGTATTTGTTGCAAAGATTTCAAGATTTTAGCTATTTGAAGTTCGGGTTTACATTGTTTTCATTATCACTGAAAACGAATATAACTAGCGCACCAAAAAATCTAATAATTTGCTAATTAATTAATAATTTGCTTTTATAATTTTATTAATAATTTAATTGATAAT